CAAGAAACCTGCCTGACTCCATTATTCTTTCTTTTCAGGATCGAGCTCTTGGCGGTGCTGCCTCCACGAGTGCCGTCGTACACTCTCCCACTGGGTGGCACTGTACGGACATGAATTGCAGTGGTAGAGACGCACCCCAATCAGACCCTCCCCACCATGTGTGCGCATGTGACGGAGCAGCACACTTTCACTGGTGCCTACATAGCTGCAGTAGTGGCACTTAAGAGGATGCGAGAGGTTTATGGGGTTGGTCGGAGGACTAGTGATAGGGCTGGTGACTGGGCTGCCTGGTGGCAATGGGCTGGTGGGCAGTGGGGACATCATGGGGGTCTGGGGGTGCGTGGGAGAGGGGGTAAGAAGGTTGGGGCCGTTACCCCCCGCTAGGCATGGTGAGGAGGAGGATGGGGATGGGGAGGAGGAATGAGAAGAGGCTGAGGAGACGATGGTGAGGAGGCCCAATTCACGTCTGCTCTTCACCCTGATGCGGCCCTACAAAGAAAAATACGCAACTTAGCAAAAAAATGTCTACTGCCGCATGGAAGATATTTCATAGAATGCTTTTCTCCTCCTTAATATTTCTCTTCCTCACTCTCGTTCTCATTCTCTCTCTCTCTCTCTCTCTTTTCCTATTTTGGTAGCTTTTTTACATGAATGAAAAGTATTTAATCTGTATTTTGCTGAGACAATTCAGTAATTAAATGATATTAAAACAATACCAATTATACATTAAAAATTTGCAAAAACAGACAAAACATCCAAGTGCTTTTAACATATAATGGTTTAAAAGAGATATTTATCAAAACCATAAACTAAATTTCAAATATTTGACTTACTGATGTAATAAAAAGAAAAACAAAATAAGGAAATTTAATATGACAAAAGAAACTCATAAATAGAAAAACAAGAAAAAGCAATGGAAATATTGGCAAACTGCATGTAAAGAATAAAACAAGAAAACTAATGCAAACATATAAATAGAAACAAACATAAAATAAGTAAATATGTTAATGTTTCATATCTTTCTTTTTTATCATTTATAAATAAGCATGGGATATATTAACCCCATGTCACCGGGCATGGCATGTACATATATGCCATGTCCCATTGTGTGTGTTGAATTTAGTAATTGTTTTTACATATAGATGGCTCCACAAGTACTAAGTCACCAATGAGTCAATTATGCAAACTACCTCTCACCTGTTTACCCTTTTCCTTGGTTTTCTATAACATTTTCTAGTATTTCATACTGCTGTTAGTAAGGTCAGTAACAATATAGTAATTATAATGTTTATAACAAAAATAACAGTGACAATATTGATAGCATTAGTAAAAATAGAGGGTTTTGGCACTTTTCCAATGAAAAGTGAGGTCGCAAGATCTACTAATTGACTCCTTTGTGACTAAGCATTGGCAGAGCAATCTTTGCACAGAAAGATTTAACCAAGCATTGCCAGAGGTAATGCACTATTTTCCTATCAATATTGGGTTGAAGTATTCTTAATATGAAAATAGCAATTTATGTTATTCCTTATATCAAAATACTGCTTTCAAAATACCTAAGGGTACTTTTAAAAATTGGTACTTTATTCGGAAAGAAAAGAAAAACAAATATGAATATATATCAACCTCAATACAAATACTTAATTATAAAATATATATATATATAT